AGATTATTTGTATACGAATTTACTTTCCCAGCAACTATAATGAAAAGCTTATCCATCACGCGTTAATAACAACTGACTGTATTTAAATATACAAAGTGACCCATCGTAACTACGTTACTACGCGAAGCAGAAGTAAGAAGACCTGAAGATGGCAAATGAGATTTTACCGAAACGTCGTCAAACAAAAAACGGTTCTTTTTAAAACCACATACGAACACATTATTTTAAAGACAAGAAAAGACTCTTATTAAGAACGGTCATCACCCATCAACAACTCATGCATCTGCCATTCGAAGCGTCGACTCCATAAATATAGAAAGCCATGCTCCAGCAACGAGCCCATCAAAGCGTTGAGGGGCAAAGTTATGAAAGATTATTGCTACAAGGTCCGACCACGCTTCATTGCCCCGTACAAGAGACTATTCGATAATTAATGCATACAGCGCTTCAAATATTTAAGAAGTGTACTACGTGGGTGCAATGCACCGCATTTTTCCCGAACAGCTAACAAAGAAAACCCGTTGAACCTACATGAATGCAATCATAGACTTTTACGGCACTGATGAGGTAGTTGAATAATGCGATCAATTTTAGCATTGGAGAGGATCAAATATGCCCCGTTTCAAAATGTAACGAAAGGTCGGTCGCTGGGCGCAGGGGTGGTCCGATCGGAGTCATTTTGATGTCGTTGTGTAGGTCGGCGAACAGAATAATATGGACATAATTACAAAAATAAAATTACGCACACTTATTTTAGTGTAGAAAAAACCATTTCCACAAGTTATTTCTGACGTAGCTCTTTTCTATCGCGATTATTTGTAATGAAATTACTTTAACGTGTGGGTATAGGCATGTATAATGTATAAATAATTTAAGGAAAGAATCGATTTAAATCACCTCCTACATTATAATTCCCCGTCATTATCAAATTAAGAATTGCAATGTCCCTTCAGCTATTTTTATTGATTAACCACACCCCACATTTTTCTATCAGGATATGTAACCACAAACACATTGTTCGGTGCAAAGTCGATGATTGTCCAGGACCGGCTTTCGGCAATCGTTGGTACACCGAGAGTAACGGATCATGATGTACAGACATCGACTTTTGATATTAATGTCATGAATATTACAAATGTATAAGGATAATAATTGTTTTCGAATGTTGGCTTATACAATTTATTTTTTTTAATATTGTTAACGTATCCACTACGTTTTATAATTGAACTTGAACAAAATTCTAGACGGCGGGAAATCAGCTGTTTCGCTTCAATCTTCAACGCTCTATAGTCCCGAAGTTGAGCGCCGAATTAACGGGAGTTAAGGCGTAATTTACTTATTTCTTAAAAAGTCGATGCCTTCCGAATTTGTGGTTAAAATTAACGACTTTTTCAGAAATTGGTTAAATTCTCGACGATACCAACGATACCTGCATTCGAGGCCCTTCCACGCGATATAGTCGAGCCGGTCCTGGAAGCGGGCTCGCGTTATTTTTACTACGAAACTCTCCGACGACGGCGGGAGTTGGGGGCGAGAGACTGACCTCAGATCAAGGCCAGGAGTGGGATCGTTACAGTTACATTCACCAACTCCACCCATACCTCCTTCGTCGGTGTCCGCACAAATGACATATAAAATGTACGATTCCGAGCCCGCTCTCGGCATCCGCCTAGAGAAGTGAACGTTCCGTAATTTTTTCTTCCGATCGGGAGCCTGCGTTGGATGATGGCAACTAAAAGGCGTTCGGCCGTGGTGGCTGGAACGTGATCGGTTGGTATGCGTTCCCCTGGTACTCTCCTTCACGCGTTGCTTCGTAACGACGGACTTAAATGGAAGACAATCCATATTGCACAAGATCCATTAATGCAAATATTTAAGTTTCACGTAAAAGAACGGAAAAAATAAAAAGATCAATTAGAATGAATTAATGAAATTGATTAAATTGATTTTAATACGTAGAATCTATTTTTCTTTAACCGTCAGTTCTTAAAGAGAGCTCTATAGCAAATAGGCAACCAACAATAAATTTTTTTATAGATTTTATTACACAGTTTGTCTAAATGTGAATTAATGCACAAATAACAGACTTTCCCCCATTTAAACGCATATTTTCTATAAAATGTACTTAGTTTCAAACTCAAATTACTTTTTGGTGTAAAGAAATTTGAAATTTGCATCATAAATTACAAATATCTTTACACCAAAATGTTATAAGATATTCTTTCACCTAGTTTCATCAAAATTAAATTATTTTCTCGGAAATGAGAAATAAAAAACGAAAAATAAGAAAAAAAATTGTTTTTCGCATTTTTCTCGGAAATTTTGAGGTTATCGTAAAAAGCAACTGTCTAAATATGAATTAATGAACAAATAACAGACTTTCCCCCATTCTATCGCAGATTTTCTATAAAATGAAGTTAGTTTGAAACTCGAATTACATTTTGTTGTAGACATTTGTAATTTGACATATCGGAAAACGTAAATTACAAATTTCTTTACACCAAAAAGTAATTCGAATTTCAAACTAACTCCATTTTATAGAAAATCTGCGTTAAAATGGGGGAAAGTCTGTTATTTGTGCACTGATTCATATTTAGACAAACTTTTTACCTACAAAAATTTGTGGTTATTTAAGACACAGAAAGGTATACTTTCACCAGGTTTCGTCAAAATTAAATTATTTTCACGGAAATGAGAAATAAAAAACGAAAAATAAGAAAATAGTCTGTTATTTGTGTATTAATTCATATTTAGACAAACTGTGTAATAAAATCTATAAAAATGTATTGCTAGTTGCCTATTTGCTGTAGAGCCCTCTTAACTATAACCTGAACTTATACCTGGTGTGAAATTTTTGCCGCATATGCACTTTGTTGCACAGAAAAAGCTCTTTTATACTTAAAAGAAGAACACTTTCCTTGAAAGTAACGAATTGAAGCAAATACTTAAACAGTTAAAATTATCTTAGTTCAACACAACCGGACTCAATTGCTTGGTATTTGAGAAATGATTTTAATCAGTACAATTTTAAAACAAATCACTCGTTGAATTTACTTAAAATTTTCGAAATTAACACAGTCCGAGTATTTTGTATTTTAAAAAGAAATTAAGACTAAAATTCATTAAAAAATAACGCATCAAAATAGGTCACTAATACCGACATTCTTCTGACCACACTTGTTTAAGACTGTCTAGTTCCTGCAAATCTTTATGAAGTTAAAAATAACGTTTAACTTAAAGCAAATTAGATAATTCATTGTTGATGTTTATCGGTTATCGTCGACATTTCAAAATTCTGTAAAAGCTAGTGCTGAATACAAAGACCGACCGGCATATCTGGGATTACATCTACTTGGTATTCGGTGAAGGGGACAGTCACTGTGTATAATGTTAAAACAATCAGATAGACGTGACTACAAAGCGTGGCTTATTTGCATGGATTACCCATTAAATGCCTTATCTGATGCAACTTACTTAATAAAATAATATTTGTAACGAAAGGATGCGCCAGATCACTACTTGGCTAATAACTGAGGAAATTATGAAACGACTTCCATAAATAAAATACGCGTTAGCTGCACAATGTTGCTGTTATTACAGATTCATTAAAATATATGTAAATGGTGTCCCAAAAGTAACGCACGATTTGAATTGTGCGTCATTTTTATTTCGAATAGTTGGCAGCATTACTTTATACGATTGTGAGAATTCATTACAAGTACAGAGAGTGTGTAGCTGAGACTGTGCGCGCAAAATACGGGAAAAGATTTGTTTTCTCTACGACTATACACCACTGTACTGATTCCGCTGATACGTTATGATTTATTATGTAAGAACACGTAAGACTTACTTTGTTTATGAGCTACACCACAAATCAAATGCAATTATCGCATACCGCAAGCAAATTTTCAAATCATCCTCGATTCAGAGGTGCTCGAACTGCAAACATTTCGCCTTTTCAAGGCAGATAAGTGGCTAGCGGAACAGATTGCAATGAAATTCAGAAGATTATACACTCTAGATGTCGGTTACACGTGATTTGTAATACGTCAGCTAATGAACGTTCAAATCGAGAAATACAATACTACTCTCCAGCCGGTCGAGTTGTAGGTTTCTAACGGATTTGCATGAAATTGACGTATATGCACACAATGGCCTGATTTGACAGAATACGTATATTCAAGATAGGCACAGTTTAAATTTGTTTAAGTGCAGGATGTCGGGAATTAGAGCGTAAAGATTGTTACATTATTACGCGCATAAACTTGTAGGACAATACCTCTAGCAAATTTTTTCTAGTTCGACCTTGGATTGCACAATGGCAAAAATAGTGAATGAACTACACTTACAATTAGACCACCACTGTAAGGTTTTGGTTCTTTTAATCGCAATGAACACCAGAAAACGCAAAATCATAAAAAATCATTAAAAAAAGTTTACCAATAAATATAATTAAACTTATTTCAATTGGACAACACCAGTGACATTTATATGTATAATTAATTAACTGTCAGGATTATTATCGTGTTGAAGTAGCTACTGGAGTTGACCAGATAGTGTAAAACAGGTTCAAAAGGTTGTGTGATGCCAAGGAATTGAATAATTTAGTCTTTAAATTAGTGTAATTTATTCTAAGGCAGGAAAATATTTTGAAACGGCACACAATAACTGACCCCCTTCGCTTCGTCACCATTTACCTACACTATCTCCCTCCACGTGCACTGTAAACTGCCTACAATTCATGTATTTGTAATACATGATTACAATATCTAAATGAATAAAATTGAGTGCCAATTTAACACGACAATATTTCAAAGGCATCCAATTTAATTAATTGATGTAATTTATGACAGAATTTGATTCAATGCTGCTCCAAAATTCGTTATGTAAGTATTTCAATATTTATAAAGTGAAAGTGTGCTGTTTATTAAACCGACAATTTCTAGCAAGATCAGCAAATAAATAAAATTACGTAAAAGTAAAATAATTATGTTATTTACCTTGTTCCTGATTTTGCTCCTCTTCCGCCCGTTCTTTGTCCTTATTTAATCCACCCTGGAACAATGAACACCATTAAGCATTTTATCGTACACAACTTCTAAACTTTTTAACTAAATATATCATTTTTACTCTATTATGAAGCTAATTCAAACTATAAATAAAAATTATATCAAATGAAGTCGTGCTTTTGACACTGTCACTTCAAAAAGTAATTTTTTTTCTAATATAGGGTCTTTGAATAAGTTCTGGCTGTTTTCCAGCAGATGGCGATACCAGAACTCTTGTTGTACAATGTACATGATAACCCACCAAAGAAGCAAGCTTCAAATTCAGTGCATGATATTTGGGTCTCAAAAATAAAGCTACGTCCATGCCCATATGAAACTTTTTGCTCTCTTGGGCCACCCAGATATGTCCCATCACAACAATGCAAGAACAAATCATAGGAAGGCCCCATAACCATTTCAGCGCAATCTAAACACGCCTGGGCGGTGATCTATTGCCCTGATTTGGCATGCAACAATCCGAATTTTTAAAGAGGTATTCTGGGTCGCTCGATACGTACGTGTCATAACAAACATTCCTCGTTATGTCACTGAACTGAATCGGTACCAGTCTAAATATTTTTACGCAGCCCGTATGGTAATCCGTTTCATGTCTCTATTATATATCTCGAGAATAACTTCTATCCCTGAACGCACAACGGCCGGTCGAGCATGTCGAATAAATCGCGAGGTAGAATCAAATTGATTCAGCAGCAATAGTAGTAATTTATGTCTGTGGAAATGCTGACAATGAATTGCATAATGATAGACCGTCGCTGTAACGAAAAATCCTGTTATATGTAATAATAAAAGGTAACCGTTAAGCTTAAGTAAACGGGTATTTACATAAAAAAGGTGAAACACTATTATAATCATTGCAAGTAAGTGTATATAACTTATAGTATTAGAAATATCCAACATTCAGGTAGGTAGGTCATACGAGTTATCAAAAATGGTTAGGATATTGATACTCTTTACAGAAAATGAATGAATTAAATAGAAAAATGTTTGTCCTTTGTTTAAATATCATTCACAAAGTTCGAGAATCCATAGGCAAATTTTTTATAACGCTAGGAAGACGTAAATAAACTTTTTACCTCTGAATATCCATCAGCTCCGAGTTGCTGTACAAGTAAGCCATTTTCGACACTTAAAAAACTAATATAAACACTATCCCAAAAACATTAATGGTATTTCAGCATTCGGAATCGCCTGGAACCATGTGGCGAGAGAGGGTATTGAGTATCGCGCACAATGACGCTAGAGATTACAGTAGCCCAGCAATGTAAGGGTTGAAAATACTACAACTTCAATAATTATTTTCTCGGAAACTATAAGCATTTTACAAAAATTTATTTTACGATATTGATGGTCAACTGGCCTTAATTTTGGAAGAATGCTATCAATTTTTTTATAAATGATGACTGGAATATAATAACTTATATGTACATCCATTTCGAACAAGAGAAACGTTGTATTAATTTCTCTAATTTATATACTAACACTTCTAACCGTCTTATAAAATGTTAATTATCGTCAAACATTTGAGGAAAGTTAATTGCTGTACGTGGTATGCAAACAATAAATAGTGGGGTAAGAGGTACAGGAGACACGATCGGCGAGCCACACATAAACACACGCATAGTCCAAATAACTCATTGACCTAAACGTCACCGGAGAAACCGCTATATTGGGCACAAGCTTCCAGGCTGTGTGAGAAATGATTATGCAGAACGGAATCGACGTTTATTGAACCGTGTATCAGAACAAAGGACACACAATGCGATGTATTGTCAGTGAGCTGTCAGGCTTTAATGCGAGTACAAAATAAATGCTGCTTACAAGAAAAAATAAACAAGGAATGCCTTTGCGAACCAGAGAGAGTATTTTTGAAGGTTTTTCTGTTCAGATACCTACATAATTTTTTTTATGGAGAAAACCATTTCGGTATTTCCAGACTTTTAAAACTGACCTAAATCCAAATCCAAAAAAAAAATCCTTCTACCGAACATTCCACGTAATTTGGCACACTCTCAGCTACATACTCTCCGTACTTTAATGAATTTGATCTGTATCCTCGATCTAGGTAAGCTTTTTTTAAGAAAATATATTTCAAAAGTCGCCTTTGGACAGATTCCGTTGAATATACGTAGCTTTGCTAGAATAGCTACGAAATCACGGATTGTGTTCGAAGCAAATGTCATTTTGTGAGAAATAATTACTTCAAAAAGGTGTCATATGATTCCGTTAATATAAACATTACTTCACATATAATAACCTATAAGTTTTACAGTAAACTAATGGATTATTTTGTTATGTAAATATCTACACACGCTTATAAAGATTATCCTTAAGAAACCGCCGATGAATTTTAAATCCATCTAATAATGTACCACATAATTGTAGGTCAGTAATGAATAACTAAATAATAAACCTGATGAAGAGCTGTGTCCCCGATCATGAACTTACGGTTATGTAAACAAAATCACGTATGTAAAGACACTTTACGTCGACTGTCTGCCTTATTCTCATTCCAGAGAGTACATAGTCATCGTAATGTAAATATAATTCAATGTTAACCAATCGTAAGAACGATAATTTACTTTTCAGGAAAATGTATACGGTAGAATCATCGCCACCAGTTTGGTTTAATAAGATGATGCAAGGTGATTTACTATTTTGCAGTAGATAATATACATGGTGTAAGAAATTTGAGTGCGATTACTTAAGCATGAGATAGAGTAATCATAAATGAACAAAAAAGTTGTATATTACAGTTTAGAACCCATGTCATATAAGGTTTTTTTGTTTATTTTAATGTATTTTATCGTCAAAGGCAGTCAAACTTGTAACACCCTGTAGATAAGCCATTTTGAACACTTATAAGACTGATGTAAACAATGAACCACAGTAGTAATGAACGAACAAACAATTTATCAAATCAATCGGAAGCTACAGCAATTTCAAACATATTTCTCGAAATGTGCAAGCCTTTAGGTGAAATCGATTGTATTTTTAATAGCATATAGTTCTTTCGATAAGTACGAGCAGATATATTTCAAAATAAATTAAATTTAGGACAGTATGTTAGCTGACGAAGCCTGTAGAATACTAATATGTCGTCACCTTCTCCACACATGTCTTTAATTTTTCGACTAACGTAGAATATCATACGAAAGTAATGTTTGCGGAATCTGCTTCAATCCTGTTATATGTTATTTACAAAATTAATTACAGAAGTATAAATTTTCATAATACTATTGGAATCCAACCCGGAATAAAATCTCGGCCCGCATTCTTTCATAATGTATGTATTTATTACCGAAAACCACGCGCTTGAAATGTCAAGCTTACACAAGCAGATCTATAGTTCATCTCGCAAACAAAACGAGACAACGAACTAGATACTACCTCCAGTGTACCATTATGGCGCCACAATGACGTAAAACTTTGAATAAGGTCGCCCAGATTTGCCCACCGTGTTAGCATTCACCAGTTTTTCCGAGCATTTCACAAACCTGATCACGAAATATTTCAATAACTTGTAAAAGCATTACTTTGTTTTTCCTTCATAACAATGTAAGTAATTATGCCGCAAATACTCTTGAGATGTGCAAGTTGCCTTTGTTACACTTTTACATCGCAACACGTACTTATTTTATTAACGAATTTAGATTCTTTTGTAGCTATATGTACATAGAATCTCGAGGTTTGTGTATCAATACGGCTAGGAAGAAGCAAAACTGTCTTTTAGTGATGACTAAATAAAAGAGCGGTTCAGTTTTAAAGCTAGACGTACGTTGGAGGACCACACCTCGTCCTTCTTATTTACATACCGACTTGCCCTACTGACATTACATAACTGTACTTAATATGGGGGCTTTGCTCATAAGTATTAGGTATGCCTAGGCAAAGATCACAAAGATATTGTCTTGTAAATTGCAAAGATGACGTCTTGCTAATTATGGTACCGGAACAGGAAACTTAAAATAAAGCGGCAAATTTTAAACACCGTTTAATTTTTACTTAATTGCTGTTGAACAATAACTTATTTTATTATACAGGACGTAATGATTGTAATATTATCCAGGAGAAGTCATAGTCTTGCACTTCATTTAGCAAATTTAAATTAGGCAGAGGTAGGTGGGTAAGAGATACTATTTTTAGCCGCGCTAATTAATATTAATGCGTTAATAAATATAACACTCTATCGTTTACAGAACTGAATTTATAAGTCATTATTTGCATCAGTTTCTAGACATTTTCTACCTGACCAAACTCTCATGCAAATAATACGAGTGGGAATATTAAGGAAACTTTAAAAAAGTAAGATATCTCGCACACTCAGTTCTTCCATGGAAGCAAATCTATACCAATCACTTTAATGGTTTCTAATTATTTTTTACTTCTTTTAGAACAACTCTTACTAAGAAACTGCAGCAAACTCGCTGAATCATTTACTATAATTGGAGTGTTTAGTTCTTATTGCAACTTTTCAGATAAGTACTATACAGAGTTTAAGATGGATCTATTACAAATATATTTACAGCGAGAACAAAAAAAATAATAATAATAATATATTCTAAATAAGTAGGGAGGTTTTTTTACTTGCTTTATATTTTATGTCTGACTTTCATTGTACTATTATTTTATTAAAGCTGTTAAATTAATTAATTACACAAAAAAATAACATTGATGCAATTTTACATAAAATTTTTATGAGTGTAGTTCTAAACTTGCGTAATCGAAATTAATAGTCCCACTACGGGAATGTGCGGTGCTTATCAACAACGAATAAGTAATGGGACTGCGTAAAGGGAAAACGGGTCGATTGTCGCTGTAAGCGTGAGAAAATATAGGTATCCAAAAATATGTAGAAATGTACAGGAAATTGCAATTAAAATAGAAAGTCAATCCGATTTCCGGCTAAATTGAAAATGCTGGGAAGATACAGATGCACCGATAGGTACGAACTTTTCAACTATGTAAATTGATAAAAAATATTTTGGG